GCAGTATGGTTTGAATCCAGAACAAATTTAAAACTGCGACAGGCCTAAGCTATAAAATATTACCGGCGAAAAGTTCCTGCCTTGCCTCAAAATACGAATCTAGAGCTCCTGGTTTCAAACCTTGCTTGTAGCAGTGATTCCGGTACGCACAAACCTCCTTTGTTGTTAATCTGAAAATCAGCTAAACCAAGAGCATTTAAACACGTCCGTCTCAACGCTCTTCCAATGTGGAATAAAAATAAAAAAAATGCCTGGATGCCTCGTCGTAAAAATAGCAGAGTGAAAATCTTACCCAAGCAGATCTTGGTTAGTGGATTAATTGTGATGTATGATTGGTGAAAGAATTATCTGATACAGATCTAATAAAAACTGTTTGTACGATGAGACAGTGTTAGGTGATGCTAGTGACAACGAGACAGAAATCTCCGCCAAAATATCACATTCTGAGCGATTAGAAGCTACGTCGACCTACAAGAAAATGCGACGGCTGCTGATGTGCTACTTAACAAACGTTGGAGGGATATTACTGCCAAAAATAGGAACAATGCAAAACGTGTACAGTTAAAAATTACTTTCTTTCTTACTAAATACTCGTAAATATGTATGTTTGTATCCACATATTTATATTTTACGTAACTTTATATAGGTATATACTCACTTAACACACGCATTCACTTTTTTCGATAAAAGCATTATGAGTCTAAATATTTATTTCTGTTTTATCCGAAATTTCGATTATCCAAAAGCACTTATGTTCACATTATTTGGATAATCGGGGTTCTGCTATCTGACTCAATTATCCCAGGCGCAGCCCTACCAAATTATTTTGGGGATTAACTAAACACGCCACTGGCTTTTTGTCCGTCGGATCAAGGGATTATCAAACAAATAAGTATTTTCTCCTGCTTGTTGAGATAGTTTAAGTGTATATAACTAGTAGGTGGAAAACTCCTAGAATCCTGAACGGCCCAAATTCAGGAGACGAGAAAAACAACTAAACCCACAGTTCTTCATTCGGATCAAAATATGCGAGTTGAGTTCTTTTTTATGAGTCTCGATGAATAAAACTAGAACATCCTCCAGTTTATTCCTATGAATTTCACGATCGGTTGATTTTTATAGGTACAGAATCTAAAATTAGTTATCTACAGACAAGTAAATTTTCGTTTGTCTTTAAATCTCCTGATCATATCCACATAGAGACCAGTGATGTGCATATTTACTATAGTTCGATATAATCCGTACAAATTAAATGCCTTAGTCGACTAACTGAGTTTGATCTAAATAACTCAGCTAATACAAGAGAAATTCAAAACATCAGTATTTGAGGAAAATAAACTGAAGCCGTAAAATACATAAGTTAAAATGAGATTTTCTGTTCAATTTTCACGATCTGTGATAAAAAATACCTGAAAATCGAAAGCATACAAAACTAATAAGCAAACAGTATCTTAAGAAGCTAAAAAATCGATTCTGTCGACTTGGGTTTCAAGGTTTAAACCTAAGAGCACTAACAGCAACGCAACTCCTAACGATATGAGACGACTTCCCACAACGTGTGTCGAGCTCTCATGGTTGTGGAAACTTTCAAAATTGAGCGATATTTGTAGTACTAAATATGTTGTGGCTTTTCTTCATGATTAATTCTGCATTCGTTTTCCGTTAACATGGAAATGAAATTTTATGTCACTCGTCAGTCACACCACTACACACAATACACCTTGAAGCATTGAAATTGTACGAGGACAGTACTCTGTACCCATCAGGCTGCTTGAATATGCTAGAAACTATGTTTTCTTTCAAATATCAGGGAAAATATTTCAAAAACTAAATAGAGGATACCTTCAAATTTTGCGGGAGCGTTGTACTAACGATCAAGTTTCATACGACTGATTTTAATTTCTATAATTGCAAAAACAGATCACTTAAAAGTTCTTCCCTAAAGCCTTTCCATAACTTTTTCTCGAAAAAATGCATGATTATTAAATTTCCAGTGTTAGTGTACTTTTTAGATGTTACTGCTTGACATACTGGTTTGACCACCTGACCCACATACAAAAATTAATTCTGGCGTAGAATCTCATACTGATTAAGTAAATGCTGTCAAAAATTATGGTTGCTATATGAATTATAGGTCATATTTGGGGTCACATGCCAAATTATTTTGATGTCGTCAATTTTTTGTAGGATCTTTTTTAATTAATATAATGCATGGGGCTACCAAGTTTCCGAAATGTTCCGTTACCCAACCGACGTTGATCGAAAAATATGGTCTAATTTTCAAGCTCCCTGTATTTTATCAAACGAAGCAAACTTAAGCTTCTAGTTGTTGATGTGATTAAAAACTTTCCGTTTATTCTTTCGTCTGACGAGCTCCCGTCTAGGGGAGGAATAATTTGTGTAGCTTCCACCTCCCGCCCTTTCGGATGGTAGCCGAGCACCCCAGATTAGATTTACCGTTGATAATGGATTCTTTGATGAGGTCTCCTTCCGGGTACGCCTCCCGGACTCCCGGATTAAATAGTCACTTGTCGAGGTAATGGAAACAATCGCTTATAGGGGATTAAATGTGCGTGGATATATCGCCCGTAGGCTAGAAAGGTCTTCATTTGGATAAATCAATCTGCTGAAGTACGCACGAGGGATTTTTTCGTGCGTAACGTGCCAGATTTTAGGGACTAATTTTAGTATCTGGGACCTGTTTACCTGCAAATTTATATGATGGAAATTAGTGAATTTGTATAGGAATTGGACATACATCTCCAGGTTTGCATGCTCCCGACTCGACTAAACTACCGTGTCATAACTCCATTGTAACTAATTCAAATTACATAAGATAATTAAATATAAAAATGGCGTCAAGAGGGTTGTTTGTGGTACCCCTCTCGCAACATTGCTCGCAACGTTGTCACCAGTTCATAGAAGATTATGGTTGGCAAAGGCTCCGCTCAGAAAAACGTAACTCGAAGGAATTCTGTGGAAAAAGTTAACCAAATAAGCCAAAACAATAACTCTTGCCGCGACAATCTACCTGTCACCTAAAGTCCCCATATTTAGCATAGCTTTAACTCTAAGATTTGGTTTCCTCTGAGAAAATATGCTACACCCTGCCTTCCAAAAATGTTTGACGGCTAATATATAAGGTTTCGAGCCGATGCGCTGTTGATGGACACCCAGGTCATGCCTGCTTTGCGACAAAAATACCTTCTCTTTTTGTTCGATCGTTCAAAGTCAATATATTGAGAAACTTGTTCCTGCAATATGTTCGATAGGTGCGTAGAAATACAGGGATGCGTATGAAGATACTGCCTCCAAAAAGTCACTCTTCTCCACCCATAAACTTTCCAGCCCTAAGACACTAAAAAGAATTTACAAAAATGGGTAGGGGTCTCTGAAACCAGATACTGACATTAAGAAACTGAAGTGTTTATAGCAAGGATCATATCATCATGCGCCAATGCGAAAAGTCTGTAATTTCTGGTATGGATACCGCAAGAATATGGATGAGAACTGGTAATCCTACATACTTCATCTATGTATGAAATGAAATGAAATTTAATGAAATGAAATGAAATGTTTATTATTCTTAGCCCTAAAGCTACTTCCTATAGTTTATAATAGTGTCTTTCTCAAGTAATAAGCAAAAACACAGTAATTCTAGATTCCCGTAAAATCATAGTAACTGCAACCACAGTAAATGCAACAATAGCAAATGACATACAGTTATCTTAACACAGAAAGTACATATATTATGCCATATTATCTAGATACAATTGCTTAACCTTATGAATAAATATATTTACAGACGTCGCTTCTCTAATTTCTGTAGGTAATGCATTAAAAAGTCTCAAACCATCACTAAAAAGACATTTTTGCATATGGGATGTTTTAGCGAATTCTATGTCAAAAGTGTTACGTGACCTGATATTATATGCATGCCTCTCGGACCTCGGTATTAGATATTCCTGCAAGTATTCAGGCAATAAATGATTTTTTGTTTTAAAAATAACTAAGACATTTGACATTTCAACCTTTTGCTGTATTGAAAGCCATCCGAGGGTTTTTAACATTAAATTAATAGGCGTATAACGTGTACAAAATGATATAGTGCGCATAGCCTTATTTTGTAGTAACTGGAGCCTTTGAATATCAGTTTTTTTGCATGATAGCAACAATGAAAAACAATAATTAAGATGTGGATATATGATGGTATTATATACAAGAAGACGACTCCGGTGACTAAGACTTTCAGATATTCGCCTAAAAAATCCTATTTTTTCCCAATTTTTTTACTAACATAATCAACATGCAATGAAAAATTTAGCTGAGGATCTAAAACTACGCCCAAATACTTCATACTAGATGCACTTTCAATTTGAATATTATCTATCTCAATACAAAATTTATTTTCTAAAAATGTATTACAGTTCTGCTTTGTCCCAAAAACCATGTATTTTGTTTTTTCTACATTCATCTTAAGCCTATTCACACATAACCAGTTATACAGAATTTCCAGTATTGAGTTCATAGTATCTACAACTTGTCTAAAATCCTTACCGTACGCATAAAGCAATGTATTGTCTGCAAATAAGCTCAGAAATGTATTTACTAAAACCCTGTTCAAGTCATTTATATAAAGTTGGAACAAAAGCGGGCCCAACATACTACCCTGAGGTGCCCCAATTTCACTATGAATTGAATTTGACGCCACGTTATGAATCTTCGTCACATGACAACGGTCTTTCAAGTAGTTCTTAAACCATTTTAGTGCAATGTCTGTAATCCCATAGGTCTGCAATTTCTGGATCAGTCTTTTCCTATCAATAGTCTCAAATGCACGTTGAAGGTCGATGAATACACTTAACACAATATTCCCGTCATGAATGTATATGTGCGCCATTTCGAGCAGACATACTGCAGCGCCGACTCGCACGAGTGTTTTTCCCGAAATCCCGACTGTGCCTTAAACAACAGTTTTCTTGCCGTAACTGCGCACAAACCACGGTTTCCAAGATTTTGTCTATCACTGATAACAAGTTAATGGGTCGGTATTGTGATGGTTTATTTGGTGTGGACACTTTTGGAATAGGCACTATAACACTAGCTTTTATTGCTTTTGGAACTTTTCCTGTTGTAAGGGATGCATTGATCAAGTGACGCAAAGGGTATCCGAGTACACAAAAAGCCGTTTTCAAAAACTTAACATTACAAATATCATCCGCTGTTGACTTGTTTTTAAATTCCATTACCCTTTTTCTAAGTTGATCAATGCTTATAGTGTTGAAGCTTGACAGACCATCACTTAACTGTGGCAATTCTTGAAATGTCGGGGCAACTTTTGGTATTTTGTCGGCCTTTGCATAAAAATTGTTAAAATTTTCTTGAACAGATCCAGCATCTTCCTCAAATTCAATATTATCATATGACAGAACATTCTTGTTTTTGCTGCCTACAACTTGCTTTAAAGTTTGTCACATTTTTTTGCTATCCCCCTTGCATTGGTCAATAGTAATTTCATAAATTTTTTTCTTTTCATTTCGAATAACACGAGCGTAAATGTTCCTTTTTTTCTTATACAGATTCCAGTCTGAATTTAATTTGGTTATTTTAAACTTTTTATAAGCTTCATCCCTGTCTCTTCGGACTTGCATTACGAACCTATTAATCCACGGTTGTTTGCGGCTTCGAGTTTTTTCAAGAGGTACAACTTCATTTACAGTTTCTATAATATTTTTCATAAACTTTTCATATAATAGGTCCACATCTGTTGTTGAATAGTTCCAATCTTTTCCGTAGAGCTCAGCTATAATAGTGTTAATATTTTCCTCATTAAATTTTCGTTTATATTTAATTTCCTCTGTTTTAACCTCATGTTGCACATCCAATACGCAGCCTATAATTCGATGATCTGAAATTTGTGGAAAATCACCCGTGATTTCTTCAAGCAAGTAATTGTTAGTCACAATTAAATCAATCAGGGTGGCTGACGTATTTGTCACTCTAGTGAACTGTTGAACTATTTGTGTAAATCCTGCATCTCATACGATATTTATCAATTTTTTTTGGCTTGGATTCTCGGTCTCTAAACGAATATTAAAATCTCCCAAAAAAATTCTTTGATGAGTTGTAATTAAATCATCTTCCAGTAATTCCTCAAAAAATTGGAAAAATAAGTCCATGCTACCGTTTGGAGATCTAACGGTGATCCAACAATTATATTTTCCAATCCTTGCTGAACATTTAAGCATAAGAACCAAAAATGACCGTGACGTACGACATTCTTTACAACTGTACAAGTAACATTGTTTTTTACATAAATTATCGTTCCCCCTGTATGACAACTTTCAGCATGGGCAATGTAGTGACTATAACCATTAATATTCAGTTCGCTATCCTCAAAATCCTCCGTAATATGGGTTTCATTAACATATAATATAAGAGGATTCTTATCCAGTACCAGCTGTTTCAATTCATCAACTTTACGTCTTAGGCCCTGTACATTTATGGACAAACAAATTTCTTGAACATACGTTGATTGCTGTTGTTTTTTTACTGTCCATGCCACTTGAAGGGAAAGAATTGTAAACTCGAAAATTCCAAAAATGCGAAGTTATTCTTTTTGGATGTTACATGATATAATATACGAGTACATCACGAAAAAACATGTCACTCATTTCCATCTATCTGTCTGTCTGCTAATTCTTTGAACCTTTTTTGAAGCTCGAAGAGTACTACTCAGATTATGATGAAGCTTTGACACAAAGTTACTACTATGCTGTTTCTTAATCAAAATTGTAAATATTATCAGTAACGTATTTTATATCGGCATAAAACTCATATGAGTTACTTTTAAATCGGTTTCACCAATACATTCTTATTTTGACGATAGCATTAAAGTAATACTCATTGGGTATTTTTAATCACAATATATTGTATTTCATTTTAGTCAAAGAACTTTGTAAGTAGTTTAATCAGTATATGCAGATGTTTTGATCAAAACGTTAGTTTTAAGATGTTTTAAGTTGGAGACCTGATTTATTATGTTGGCCCTGTATGAAGCCTTTTTCCTTGCAGGGCTGTTCGGGAGAGCTAAATAAAACTCGGATTAAATAAATGTTGATTAACACAGCAGTACTGAAAAATATTTTATAAGCTACGTAGTAGAACAGAGTGCTACTTAATAATTTACTTGTTTCATTTATCCAGTAAATAAAGGAATAATAACTGTTCGTATGCATGGCGTTCCGTGGTCCACCCAGTTAACTTATCACTTCTGCCGAATGCCTCATATGCCTTCCAAGTTTTACTATAGTCTATCTTGGATGCACGGTTATATGCTATTTAAGACCAGATTATGTTGGTCGTTCCGTGTATTGTCTCTTCTATAACTATCTCGTAATGCGCAAACTTCTAATTCAGTTCAGATTTATGCTATGCAGAGGAAAAACATCGATATTTTTTAATGTAATAGCATGGGATAGTACTTTAAAACAGCTTAAATATTAATCCAATATAACTTTTTGATTAAAACGCAGTAGCCATTTTTCGGCTGGTTGGTGAATATCCTCAATAATTTATTTTTAATAACGTGAAATACAGCCCGGGCGCAGATACATGATATTCGATTGGTTTAACAATATCTGTCGAATCCATGCATAGGTATATCTGAATTTATCGTTAGCTTTTACGTTTTATAGGGGGATAAATATTACTCTACCAGATTTTGTTGTAGAATATCCACGCCCTAAAGTTCTAAATCAGTATTTGATATCTACTGTATGTGTAAAGTATTGGAATAATTGTAACATTTTCAAAAGCGCTTCTCTGAAAATATTGATATTTTTATGCTATTGTGTAGTTTTGAGATATTTGGAAGATCGCTAAGGTCTGTCCAGTGTTTAAGTATGGGGATAAGTCAAATATTGAGAATTACAGGGCAGTCTCTATATTATGCATGTTCTCGAAAGTCTTTGAAATAGTCTTGTACAGTCACATTTACACTGCCGTCCAGCATCAGCTGCCATTGCATCAACACGGATTTGTCGCTAATCGCTCAACAACCACAAATCTATTTATAATAACGCAGTACCTCTCGGAAGCAATTGATAGTAATGAGCAAGTTGACGTTATTTACACCGACTTTTTGAAGGCTTTCGATAAAATTAACCACTTTATTAAATAAGTTAGGTGCACTTGGTTTCACAGATGATGCTAGGGAGTTGATGAAACCTTACTTATCCGATCGTAGACAATTTGTTAGCTTTAATGGCTTTCAATATCAGACCTACTTGGCACCTTCTGGAGTTCCTCAGGGGTCCAACCTGGGACCATTACTGTTTTTGATATTTATTAATGACCTCTGTGACTCAGTTGAATGTGAACGCCTATGCTTTGCTGACGACCTAAAAATTTATTCGCAGATAAATACTCCTTATGATTGTACCAAGCTACAACACCAATTAAATTTTGTGCTGTCTTGGTGTGTAGAAAACAAGTTGGAGCTTAATGTGACGAAGTGTAAAATAGTCAGCTATACCAGGAAAATTAATGTTTGCGAATACGTACGTGATTTAGGTATAATCTATGATCAAAAGTTAACTTTTAGTCAGCATATAAATAAAAAAGCATCAGAAGCATTGGCGGTTTCATAGTCAGGAATTGCAGGAATTTTCATAACATAAAGTCTATTAAGCTATTATATTATGCTTATGTTAGATCCAAAGTCGAATATTGTAGTATTATTTGGAGCCCTTACTATGAATGCTATAGCGCAGCTATTGAAAGAGTACAACGGAAGTTTATGAAGCTTGTTCTGTTTAAAATTGATGGGACATATCTAGAGAGAGGTACAAGTAATGAGGAACTATGTAGTCGCTTAGACATGTTGACTTTGAAAAAACGTAGTGCCTCAATAATACTTGGCTACAAAATGATCAACAATTTAATTGATTGCCCCATGATTCTGGAACAGATCAAGTTTCGTGCTCCAACGTTTGCATCTCGCAATCATAAAATATTCGGGCTTCCTAGAGCCAGGACAAACATTCTCCTCAAGTCATCGTTATATGTAATGTGCTCTAACTCAAACAGAATTGGATGTTATTGTGATATATTTACGACAAATATTAATTACCTGCTAAAGGCAGCTAAGGCTTATTCGGACCAAATTTATACCTGTGTTGCATTTGTTGTTTTCTTTTCGCTTTTTTTTGCTTTTGTATTATGTTTGTAAATTGTCCTATAAATGGGAAACTGTTGGACAATAAAGGTATTATTATTATTATTATATTATGTTATTAATGCCTGTGTATGTGCCTTTACACGGTTTTTAGCGTGTCACAGTAGAACTACAAAAGTTAGTTTCATACATCACACTTACAGATGCAGTTGGTATCCATGAGCGGTCATCTGCTTCTCCCACTAAAAAGTCTCACTGTTTCCAGAATTATTTTTATTTCTTTTATTTGTACACGCAAAACTGTTGCAATGGCTTTTTCACTATAAAACAGACTAGAATGTCAGATACCTGTAAACTATAGTATAATCTTGATACGAGTATATGCAGTACAAGCAATCAGGTAAGTTACAAACAAAATGTGGATATTGAAATACTTCTAAAATAAAAGGGCGTTTACCATTTGCACGACTCATTACGTTATATGGTTATTTAGCTTTCAAGTATGTACGATACTAATTCATACACAGGGCCAATTTCACCAACATTAATATTTGACGGTCAGTTGGTGGACCAATAGGAAAAGACCTTATCGAAATGCAATTTGACGGAAGCTGTCAAAGCTCTCTGAATATAATAATAATAATAATAATAATAATATGTCTTTATTTTTTAGATAAACTGTAACAAACAAAAAAAAACTCATTTGATGAGGGAGGCGGCATTCAACATAGTTGCTCTTCCATGCAACCCCCGTAAATAATACAATACTAACAATTAGATGATAATGAGCGAATAATGATGGGTGTAATTAATACAACAAAAATAAAACTAACTATTGTGCTCTTTTCACATGGGATTTGACTATATTTCGGAAGCTGCTAAGTGAGGTCGAATCTTTTACTGCATCTGGCAATGAGTTATACATGGTAGATGCAACATAAGTAAATGAGTTTTTAAACTGTTCAGTACTATGTAACGGAACATCATAGAGGTTACAAGAACGAGTTTCCCTATCACGAAGATCCGATCTCTTTACAAGTTTGGTATATAGGTAAAGTGGCAGCTGGGTTTTGTTAATATTGTAAGTTAAGCAAGCAAGATGTATCAAAAAGCGCTCATGCATGTTGAACCAGCCAGAGGCTCGAAATTCGTCACTGAAGTGGTCATATTTTTTCAAACCGTACGAAAATTTGATGCATGAGTTCTGAGTTTTTTGAATAGAACGTTTGTCTCTAGTAGTGAGAGCAGGCCAGTATACAATATCAGCATAT